AGCATTAACAGACCACCAATTCCAACAAGAGTCCTTTCAGCTTCAAATGACAGGAAACCGCAAATCCAATCCGCCCGGCACCTTGCTCGTCATGCGTTCCGCCCTGGTCCTGCTCCATCTGTCGCTATGGATCACGGTGTCGCATGCCTTCTTCCCTTGGTTTCCGAACTACCGCTGCGACGAAGGCGATGATTGCAAGGCAGAAAAGAGGGCACAACTAGATGGTACGGCCCAAGATGTCGTCAATGCCATTCGGGTCTCTGGGGCTCTCAAGCCTTCGACCTTTCCCATCGGTCAACGGGTATGTGTGACCCACCCACTGAGTTATCATGAAGTATTGCTAACGCCCTGTAGCGAGGTTTTGAGTCTGAACCAGTAGCCAGGACTGTTTCCAGGCTGCTTCGCAAGTACTCCAGGTACCAGCCTACGCCTCTGGCGGACGAATCGACCGCATTGGCCAAGAGGCAAAACGTGTATCGCGTCATCGAGCCGGAAAAGACTGATCAGAAATACGGTGCCGGTATCTGGCAGGATGGCTCAGACTTCTCCTACTTCGTTCAGGCCAAGCTTGGATCAGAGGGCAAGGAGCTGTACATGCTCGTCGATACCGGTGCGGGTACGTCTTGGGTTATGGGCTCTGACTGTGCTTCGCCGGCCTGCGGTCTCCACAACTCGTTTGGTCCTGACGATTCGAAGACATTCGAGCGCGTCGACGAGCACTATTCAGTCAAATACGGATCAGGTTCCGTCAAGGGCTCCAAGGTCACGGATACGATCAACGTTGCGGGCATGAACCTGAAGTTCAAGTTTGGCGTTGCCAACGAGACATCCGATGATTTCAACCACTTTCCCTTCGACGGGATACTCGGCCTGTCTCTCTCTGGTGGCGAATCAGATAACTTTATGAGCATCGTTGCAGATTCCAAGACGCTCGACAAGAACATCTTTTGCGTCTTCATCAACAGGGCAGCCGATGGGCCCAACACCGGAGAGCTAAGCTTCGGCACTTGCAACAACGACAAATATACCGGCGACTTCACGTACACTGATGTGGGCTCCAGCAATGGGGACTGGGCCGTTCCCATGGACGGTCTCACGTATGACGGCAGAAGGCTGGTGTCAAGGGCAAGCTCGCCTATATTGACAACGGGCACTTCGTGATGTATTTGGACCCGAAAGC